GGCTAGGAGGGAGATCTGGCCGTCTGGTTGGGGTCTGGGGTGGTAGGTTGCTGTGCTCAGCGTTGGGCGGGGGAGCCTGCTCATCAGTACCCCAGCAGAAAGGGTCAAACTCTGGTTACAGGTGATGGTTGTACCCAATGTGCAGCAGTACCGGGACCAGAGTGAATAGGGTGTGTATGGGGAGCGTGAGTGGGTGTCCGGTGTGCATTTTTGTAAGTCTTTGGTTGTATGTGTATGTGTGAGCATGAGAGAGGGATTGTGTGACTGTGTTTGTGTATGACTGTATATGTCAGGTGGGGCCTTTGACTCCTCCCCTCTCCTGGAACTTCTTTTGATGATATAGATCTTTGTCCCCCCTCCCCCTGCCACACCTGGTGTGAGGGGTTGTGCCTTGGTCTGCCTGAATGTTCGTGGCAACCGGGTCTGGGGGTTTAAGATTTTGGCATCTGCCTGATAGATCCCAGTGGCTGCCTGGGGGGGGGGGGGGGGGGGGGGGGGGGGGGGTCTGGGTCCCTGGGCTCTGCTGGGTCCCCGGCGGGGGTGGTCGCCCCTGGGTCCCAGGTCGGTGGGTCCCGGGCTCGGCCGGCTGGGGGGTGGGAGGCTGCGGACGGGCCTGTGGGCTTGCTGTTGATGTCTCCTGGGACTCTGCTGGCTGCTGGTTGTGGCCCCCCGGGGCGATCCTCTGCGCCTCTCGAGGGGGGCGGGGGCCTTTCTGGTTGCAGTCTCCTTGGGGTTCCTGTGTTCTGGGGCAGCGCCTGGATCTCTGAGACTTGGAGCTCCCCCCATCTCCTGCGCATCCTTGGGGGTTGATCTGTGGTCCCTCACACTCTCTGTTGGACGCTCCTATAGAGAAACCTTACATAAACAAGCGCGTGTACACACACAGGTGCTCACATGGTGCTCTCAAAAGTATGGGCTTGGGCATGTTAAACACAGGTCTTAAGACTATGGTGGGCACTTAAAGCACTGTGATTTATTATCGTGATTCTTCAGTTAAGCAATGTTGATTATATATTTCTTCATCAAGTTGACGCAGTGATAGCTTGATCTGGTTGTATTGTTGTTGTGTCCCATTTTTTTGCCCTTTTGCTTTTTTTGTCTTTTTCTGCAGGTCTAGAAGCAGACTCTTGTTCATTATTGTTTATTTTTGTGGACACCCCCCCCCCCCCCCCCCCCTCTCCCCACCTTATCTTTTCCTTTCTCTTTCACCTCTGTCTCCATGTCGGGTCGGAATTACAAAGCATTCAAAAACAATAACAATAAAGTTTTAAGTATCAGGCGTGACATTAAAAGCAGACACTTTGATGCTCCACCTGAGAGTAAATCTGTAAGGCTTGTTACCAGCATTCAGACATCAATTCAGCTTGCTTCACAGCCAGACAGGACACAGTAAAAAAAAAAGGATGGTTCATATGCTGCTAAAATTATTCCACTGAAAAATCTGGTTTGATTCCCCATAGGATGGTTATTTAGCATGAACTGTGAGCTTTGGATGAAATCGGATCTCTGGCTGAACTGGAGAAAATAGGAAGTGATTCCACTTTTAATTAAATGGTTGTTTGACCAACAAGATCTGAGAATTTTGAATGGAGATTTACCAAGACCCTCAAGCACTCCCCTTTCTGTGATGCTTAGAAAGCTCATTTCGTTTAGAATATGGAGTAACATTAATTTGATAATACAGAATATGATTGTAAGCAAACTTTGGATTGAAAGGAATCATTTTATGAGACCAAACTACGAATAATTTTATTCAAAGATTAAAGTCTCGTCTTCTGCATGGACCTTGGGGTTGCAGCACCATGTAATTAGTGGCAGAAAAGAAGTCAGGCAATGGAATTGTTTTGACGATCTTCTGGTGCAAGGCTACAGACAGCCTGTGTCTTGAGATGAAAAGTACGCAGTTACCCATGATTAAGCAGGCTGTGGAGAAATCAATGTCTGGTCATCTCTGAGAATATAGTGGACAAATAACTTTGGACATCTCCAGCGCTACACAAACATGTAGCCACAGTGGTGAGGAAAGATCCCTTAACAGTAGGGCTGGGGGTAAACGATTATTTTTAAAACGATTATTCTGACGATTATTTTATCGAATAGTCGACTATTCTAATGACTATTTAGAAAACTAATCTAATGATTATTTTTCTATTGCACAATTAACAAAAACCAGAAAATCTCAAATAAATTCCTCAAAAAAATTGATAAATTCTTACTGTAAGAGAATAAACACTACAGGCCTTCCATTTTGTATAACACTGCTTTTATTGTGTTGCGGTTGGTTATGTTCTGATGACGTGTAGAACTTGGGAGTGCAGGCTGCTGCCTGAGAGGTGGTAGAAGATGGAGTGTCTCCATGCTGCTTTGTTTTGGTCACTTATGTGCGTGAGGCGAGTGGTGTTACGGGTTAAACCAAACTCAGGTGATATTTTACACTAAACCGAAAACCCACAACACTCTAAATGTAATAAAAGGGAGATCTACACCACAAAAAAGATGAACTCTAAACCAAAACGTAACAGCTTATCCCAACGCAAGAAGCTGTTAGCGAAGATGCTAACAGTAGCTTTACCAACGTTAAGTTCAAGTTACCAAGTTTAAGTAAACCAAAAACACCCAGCAGCAAACAGACCAGCACGGAGGAGAGACTGCTACCACCAAAACATCTCTCCTCATGTCTGAAAGAAGCTCCTTTATGAAGGGAGAAACGCTCCCGGTGATTTTCTACATCTGCGATAGACACGAAGTAGCGCATCTGACCCCGGAAGTTGTTGTCCGTTGCCGGGAGACGAAGGCGGGCAAAACAGGAAAGGAATCTAGTAGTGGACGGACATTGTTCCGGGTCTTCGGTATTTGGCGGAGATGTTAGTGAAGGCGGAGAAGAGGGCGAACTAGAGGAAAAACGGGCAGATTCCTCCTCTATTTACAAACTCCTGGGGATGCAACAAGTGGGCGCGGTGCGTCGACTTCCGGATCTGACGTCGACAAATTTTTAGAATCGAGCCGTCGACTTCGTCGAGGCTTCGCTACAGCCCTACTTAACAGGAAGTAATAATAATTTCATGACTAACCATGTGGTGTTTGGTTAATGTGTTAATCTCACACGAGAAGGGTATATTCTACTACCAAAGAAAACGGAAGTACATGCTTTTATTGTGAAGACGAGTTGTCATGTTGATCCAGTAGTTAGGAGTTGAGTGGAGAATAAAGTGCAATTATTTGGTAACACATACCTCCTCTGATCCTTCATCCATCTGCCAACTCCTACATTGGTGACCCCGACGTCGGACTATTGTTTGCTGATCGTCCAACCTAGATGGATTCTGCTGTTCCTTCTGCCACTGAAGGGGATATGCTACCGGCTGCCGCAGCCATTTCCCCCGCCGTCTTCGTGGCATCTATCAAGCTGCCGTATTTATGGCAACACGGCCCAGAAACTTGGTTCCAACATGTTGAGGCTCAATTCTACCTCCGGGGGATTACTTCGTATGACGCAAAATACTTTCATGTGGTCGCCGCACTGGACGCTGGTTCTACCCGCCGTTTAATGGGGCTGTTGTGGCAGCCTCCGCGGGCTAACAAATATGGTGTTTTGAAAGACACTCTGCTCAGGATCTACCTTCTGTCAGAGGAGGAGGGAGCTGACCGCCTGTTCTCGCTCAATGATTTGGGAGATAGCAAAGTGTCTGAACTGATGATCATGTTGGCGCTACTTGGAACAGGTGACACTCATTTACTTTTTACTCATCTTTTCCAATGCCAGCTACTGCCGTTTGTTCGCACCGCCTTGGCGAGCTCCGAGTTTCAGTGCTCTAAGGACTACCGAGCGTTGGTGGAGGAAGCAGACAAGATCCTGCTGGCTTCTAGGGCGCATGGGCGTTCACGCCATCATGCCGATCGTTCCCCGAATGCCAGCCGAGCCATGTCAGAACATGTCAGTGACAGCTGTCACGGAACACAAGACAGGAAATGCTGGACTGTGATTTTACCACCGCAAGTTTGGATCTAAGGTGAGACGCTGCATTCCACCCTGCTCCTTTCCCGACCAGGGAAACGGGAAAGCCGGCGCTCACTAGCAGCAGTTAACGCCGGCTCATCAAACGGGCTGCTCTTCCTGACAGACGCTTCTTCAGGACGACATTTCCTCATCGATTCAGGAGCTCAGCGGAGTGTTATTCCATCTTCTGCTGCCGACACCTGGTTTCCTGTGCATTGTCCCCAGTTGGATGCTGCACATGGGAATCCTATCTGGACTTTTGAGACTCGGTTTGTGACTCTGTTTTAATGGGCACAGTTTCAAATGGGATTTTGTGATAGTCTCGATTTCTGTACCTATTGTGGGTGCAGATTTCCTGTGTGCTTTTCAGTTGATGGTGAACACAACAGGTGTTAACAGGTGTCTAGTTGATGCTGTCTCTTTTGAAACTTGTCCATGATCTCTGGGAGGTCCTTCACCTGTACTTTTGGCTAACATACTACCCTCGGGTGACGAGTCCCACAGGTTGCTGGCCAAGTTTCCCTTGATCACAATCCCCACGTTTTCTGCTGCTGTAGCAAAACACGGGGTTAAACATTACATTCCAACCACTGGTCCTCCAGTGTTTTCCTGTCCCCGTCGCCTGGACCCCTCTAAGTTACAGATAGCACAGGAGGAGTTCACTAATATGGAGCGCCTCGGGATTATGCACCGCTCTCACAGTCCTTGGGTGTCGCCGTTACACATGGTTCCCAAGGCTGATGGTGGATGGCGCCCTTGTAGTGATTTCAGGCGCCTTAACAACACCACCGACAACGATCGCTATCGCTAATAGATTTGCATTTCATTATCTGACTAGTTAAAAAATGCTTTGTTTAATTTTAAGAATGTCACTATTTTCCTTGAACTTTTTAATCATTTTTAAAACATTTTTAATAATATTGATGATAAAGAGAAATCAACTTGTGAATGCAATGCATGTTAATATAGTAACATAGCATTTTTAAAATAAGCTTATTCACATATGGAAAGTATCTATGTGAACTAATAGTACTTTCATTGTGTAAAAGTAGCTCACACGCCAAAAAAGGTTGGAGATCCCTAAAATATATAAATAACTTTTGAGTTTTTAACTTTTTTGTTTTTTCAAGTAAGTGAGGATGGTGTCCTAAAGCCCTCCACGGACGAGCCTCTACTAGTCCATGGAGACTCCTACATCAATCAATGTTTGCCTGTTTTTGTTGCCTTTCTGTTTTTGGCCACAAGGGAAGAGTAATGTTAGTGCTCAGATCAAATTAGAATTGTGTAACTAAAATAAAGTATAAATTATCTGTGTGACAGGGTTCTGCTCAGACAGCAGTATCCGTCTGATGATGGAGATCCAGATTGGAGTTGAGTTCTGTTTTCCACAACTCAACAGGTCCTGCAGGAGGCCAACACCTCACTGGTCTGAAACTGTCCTCCTGAACATCGTGTTGTCCTTCTTCTCTCTGATCACAGCATTTCTAAACCTCCTCATCATAATCTCAGTCTCCTATTTCAGGCAGGTATTAAAAAGAAAAACATCACATTTATCAATATTTTTATCGGATCAGAATGTGATTCTACGCTGCATAAGTTATTTTAACCTCACTGACTGACTTTCTCTGTTTCTTTGTAGGAAGCTCCAGAAACCTTCTAACATCCTCATCCTCTCTCTGGCTGTGTCAGATTTCCTTGTTGGCATTTTAATCATTCCATTTGAAATCTTTAGAAAGACAAAATGCTGGATTCTCGGTAATATCACATGTTTATTTTACTATTATTTTGCCTGTGTTTCTCTCGGTGCTTCGACTGGAACCATTGTTCTTATATCAGCTGATCGCTATGTGGCTATTTGTTACGCTCTGCATTATCCCACCAGAATAACCTTACCAAGAATGAAATTCTGTGTTTGTCTTTGTTGGAGCTGTGCTGCTTTCTATGTAACTTGCTTGTTAAAAGATGAGCTGATTCAGCCAGGCAGGAGTAATTCCTGCATTGGAGAATGTACAGTATCTGTTGATTATATTGCAGGAACTTTTGATCTGTTTATAACATTTTTATTTCCAGTTACAGTCATCATAGTTCTGTATATGAGAGTATTTGTGGTGGCTGTGACTCAGGCTCGTGCCATGTACTCTCACAATAGAAGTGTCACCCTTCAGCTTTCAGTGCAACAACAAACAAAGAAATCAGAGCTAAAAGCAGCCAGAACACTGGGTGTTCTTGTTGTTGTATATCTGATGTGTTTCTGTCCATATTACTGCTGCTTTTATTTTATAGATAGTTTTACAACTACAACATTTGTATCATTCTTGTTCCTTCTCATGTGTCTTAATTCCTGTCTAAACCCTATGATCTATGCCATGTTTTATCCCTGGTTCAGAAAAGCTGTTAAACATATTGTAACTTTACAGATCCTGAAGCCCGGCTCCTGTGAGGCCAACATACTGTAGATACTGTGGACTGAGGGACGTACAACCTCCTGACCAGTTTACAATTCTAAAATCTAAAGTCCAGTGAAGGAGAAAAAATTGTCTTCATTTCCTACATTATAAACATAAATGTATGTAGAGAGCAGGGCCGGTTCTAGGCTGGCATATTTGAGGGGGCAGACAGAATTGTGAAGGGGGAAGATTGTGGTGATGGAGGACGAAAAGTTGTATTGGTGGTGCAGGTATTCCAGGATCTTTTAGCCATGTTATTGGATTGTATTTTGTTAGACTTTGATCTTCCCTTTTTCTCTCTGTCCCTGAAACCCTTATTCGTGTATTCATCACATTATAAATCAACTACAGCAATAGCATCTATATGGTATCCCATCCAAAGCCCTCACCAAACTACAAGACATCCAGAATTGTCCTTCCTGTCTCCTAACCAGTGACCACATCACCTCCATCGACTTCCTCTCCCACAGTGCATTACATTCAAAGTCCTCCATAACCGGGAGCCCTCCTACCTCTCTAACCCGCTCCACCACCATGCCCCATCCCTCTGCCTCCCCTCCCTCTCCAACAGGACCAAGCTCTGAACTTGTGGAGACTCAGCTTTCTCCATGGCTGTCTCCACCCTCTAGAACTCACTCCCACAACCTCTCCACAACTGCTCTGACCTCTCCACCATTAAAACTCTGTTTTACAGTTTATGTTTTATTGTTGCATAATCTGTCTGTTTAACCTTGTCTTTTTACAAAATCTCTAAAGTTCTTCATTAATAAAATATATTATTCCATTTTATGACCCAAGACCTGTTCTACTATGAGAAAATCATTAACATCAGATCGACCATTCATTCCTCCATGTCAACATGCACAATCAGACCACAGCTGCAGCAACACAGGTTTGTGGCAGTTTTCAGTGTGATTACTGCTAAAACACTGGGGGACATAATAAAGATCTTAAATTCATCTACCTGCTGTCTGGACACCCTGCCAACTAAACTTCTTTTAAATGTTTTTAGCTGTGTTAAACCCCGACTCTGATGTAAAATGTGTGAAGGATGGGGGTTACAAGAAACAGGGCAGTGGAAATAAAAATTTGTTTGATTTGTCATAAAAGGTTCTAAAAACAAGAGAACAAACAGATCGTGAGCATTAGTAAAATAAATGCCAAATGAAAACAGGACTATAATGTTTACGTTTAAAAGACCAATTATCAACATTAAAAACACCTGGTTAAAACGTTGTTAAAGGTTTTAACTCACTAGAAGGCATGTTTAAAACTCGCATACATTTAAAACCCCCAAGTAAACTCCTCCACTTGGGCAGGACCTCATCCCCTTTTCCAATTCAAAACCGTGGTCTCAGATTTAGAGGAGCTGATTCTCATCCCAGCAGCTTCACACTCGGCTGTGAACCGCTCCAATAAAAGCCGAAGATCATGTTTTGATGAAGCCAACAGTCCATATCACCTGCAAAAAGCAGAGACCCGATCCTCTGGCCATCAAATAGAATGCCCTCAACTCCTTTGCTGCGCCTAGAAATCCTGTCCATAAGTTATGAACAGAATCGGTGACAAAGGGCAGCCTTGGCAGAGTCCAACTCTCACTGGGAATGAGCCCGACTTACTGCCGGCAATGTGGACCAAGCTCTGATACCAGTCATACAGGGACCTAACAGCCTGTATCAGAGTGCCTGGTACCCCATTCTACCAGAGTACACCAATTCCACCCCCAGAGCCTTCAATTCAATTCAAGTTTAATTATATAGCACTGAATCAGTGACCCAACAATGAGGCTACCACAGCTCAGCAGAACACCATTGTAGCTTTATTTGGGGAAAAAAACACTTAGAGAAAAAATTAAGTTTACTTTCTCAGGCTCAAAATAACTTTTAAAAGAAGGACAAAGAAGTAAGTCTTTCAGGGGTAGGGCTGTAGCGAAGCCTCGACGAAGTCGACGGCTCGATTCTAAAAATTTGTCGACGTCGGATCCGGAAGTCGACGCACCGCGCCCACTTGTTGCATCCCCAGGAGTTTGTAAATAGAGGAGGAATCTGCCTGTTTTTACTGTAGTTCGCCCTCTTCTCCCCCTTCACTAACATCTCCGCCAAATACCGAAGACCCGGAACAACGTCCGTCCTCTACTAGATTATTTTCCTGTTTTGCCCCTTCGTCTCCCGGCAACGGACAACAACTTCCGGGGTCAGACGCGCTGCTTCGTGTCTATCGCAGATGTAGAAAATCACCGGGAGCGCTTCTCCCTTCATTAAGGAGCTTCTTTCAGACATGAGGAGAGCTGTTTTGGTGGTAGCAGTCTCTCCTCCATGCTGGTCTGGTTGCTGCTGGGTGTTTTTGGTTTATTTAAACTTGGTAACTTGAACTTAATGTTGGTAAAGCTACTGTTAGCATCTTCGCTAACAGCTTCTTGCATTGGGATAAGCTGTTACGTTTTGGTTTAGAGTTAATCTTTTTTGTGGTGTAGATCTCCCTTTTTATTACATTTAGAGTGTTGTGGGTTTTCGGTTTAGTTTAAAATACCACCTGAGTTTGGTTTAACCCGTAAGACCACTCGCCTCACGCACATAAGTGACCAAAACAAAGCAGCATGGAGACACTCCATCTTCTACCACCTCTCAGGCAGCAGCCTGCACTGCCAAGTTCTACACGTCACCAGAACATAACCAACCGCAACACAATAAAAGCAGTGTTATACAAAATGGAAGGCCTGTAGTGTTTATTCTCTTACAGTAACAATTTATCAATTTTTTTGAGGAATTTATTTGAGATTTTCTGGTTTTTGTTAATTGTGCAATAGAAAAATAATCATTAGATTAATTTTCTAAATAGTCATTAGAATAGTCGACTATTCGATAAAATAATCGTCAGAATAATCGTTTTAAAAATAATCGTTTACCCCCAGCCCTATTCAGGGGTACTTCTGACTTAAAAAATGTTCATGAAATACGTATGTGGAGTAACCAGGTAGGTAGGTAGGAAGTAATGCAGTTAAAATGCATAGTGTAAACGGAAGTAGTTGAGTGTGGAAAGTGGTCAGTATGTCCTCCAGCAGTCTAAGCCTACAGCAACATAACTACAGAGACAACTCTGGATAACCTAGCCTTTTAGATGGAGGCATGTTGGAGGCAGTGCAAGGGAGAGCCGTCTTTACCGACTGTACACTACACGTCCCTCTACTCTCCCACTTGTCCAAATCTGGGCTAACATCAGATTTTAAGTATAGGCCCTATCAAATAAAAATGTTTTAAGCCTAGTCTTAAAATGTGCTTTCATTTTAAATAGAAGCCATTATATTTAATGAGAGTGGGCACATGGACAGTGCTGCGCTGCATCCCTAGAAGTGCTGTGCCGAAGCGTTGAAGATAGGTGCCAGTTCTATCAGTTTATCTACATAAAAGACATTACGATGCGGAATGGCTTTACGGCACAAACCCAACCGCTGGCACAAACAAAATAGCAGGCACAAACCCACCTGCAGTTTTGATAACTTTAAAGTACTATTCATCTAAAAATAATCTTTTAAATAGCGTACTTGCCCATTTTAATGAATTTGAGTCTCACAAAACACAACGGCGAGTCTGCTCACGTATAAACAATAGAGTAACTTCCTGTCCGATGTTATGACTTTCGCGCGACTTTCCAAGAAGCGCTTAGCGGTGCAGCGCATCCTGTGTGACTACTTGACTTCTCAAAATCGTGGGCGTAACATGCGCAGCGAGTCTGCCTCCGGTGAGCCCCGAGCCCAATGATTCTACCATTTGTAAGCATATATATAAATAGTAAAGAAAATTGGTCCAAGCACTGAACCCTGTGGTTCTCCACAAGTAACCCTAGAGTATGAAGATATGTCATGTAAAATTACAAAATGAAATCGGTCAGACAGGTAGGATTTAAACCATCTAACAAGACTAGAACAGATGCAACATTCTTGTCTGAGGCCATGAAAATATCATTTGTAACTTTCACTAATGGGTTTTCAGTGGGGTAATACTCTCAAATACCGGACTGAAATTCCTCAAATAGATCATTAACTTTTAGATGCTCACATATGTGATTGACCACTATTTTCTCAAGGACTTTGGATAAAAATGGAAGGTTAGATATTGGTCTATAATTCAAGAGGTTTCTTAAGCAGAGGTTTGATTATCGTAACCTAAAAATCCTGCTGTTAAAACGCATTCACTAAGGATAGATTGATTATATCTAGAATGGGGGCAGTAACCAAAGGAAATGCATCTTTAAATAAGTTGGTTAGGATTGGATCTAAAATAAAGATGAATGTTAAGATGAAGTTACTATTTTTGATAACTCTGAAAGCTCAACTGAATAAAAACAGTTCAAACACAGATGAGGTTCTACAGTTACCTCTGATGCTGCCTCACGTTCTGAGGAAGAAGAAATCGCATTAGAGAGGACGCAAATGATTTTGTTTCTGATAGAATTAATTTTACTTGTGAAAAATCCATAGACTGTACATATACTGGACAAACGGATTCCATTGGCTTCAATAACACGTTTGTTGTCTATAATGGGAGGTGGCCACCACCGCCATTTTGACCGTGTCACAGGTTCCGTCCAGCCCAGACAATTCCATAAAAGGGAAGAGAGGAGGCGCTGAGGGTGTGGCTGTAAGGCTGGGCTCGAGTGACGACACCCAGGCGAACTAGCTACGAGCTAACCTGAAGCTAACCCTGGCTAACCCAAAGCTAAAGCGGAGGTGGGAGCCGAGCTAACGGATGTAGCCACCTAGCTTCAACCCAACCGGAGCTAACTGGAACACCCATCGACCTGAACCTCACACGGAGTTTAGGTGGAGGTTTTCTGAGCCTGTTCGTGAGAAGTACCAGTATTAAAAAAGTTTTAAATCGGTAAGTTTATAATTTATTTCCGTAATGAAAACATTTTGCTTTGAGCAAGTTTTCAGTAGTTTTTTTCGGCGCTATCACTCCTGAGTCGCACCAGCCATTAAATGTATCATGAAGAAGAGAACATATATTTAAGTCGTATTTTGGGGGGACATTTTATTATCTTTCTTACAAAATCTGAGACCAAGCGTTTCACATTGCAACACAAGCACCGGTAACCATAACAGAATGAACAACAGCCAGCAGAGGAGAGGATGGCGGTGTTTCCACCCCTCCCGGCCGGCGAGGAGAGCTCATTCCTGGGCTGGAGCCGGCCCTCAGCACCCCGCCACAGGCTCTAACAGATGCTGGCGGTGTTTGAAACCCTCCCAGCGGGACAGGGGAACTCATTCTTGTGTGGGTTGGAGTCGGCCCGCAGCAGCGCGGTGTAGCCTACATATTTTGTTATATAAGTCGCTCTGGAGTATAAGTAGCAGGACCAGCCAGAATATGTAAAAAAGTGCGAGTTATAGTCCGGAAAATATGGCAGTTATTAGTATTCGAGCTAAATTAGCAGCGTAAATACATTTAATATATTTCCAAAATGTAATACTTGTTTGTATCTTGTACAGCCAACTAGTCTTTATTCTGGACTCAGTACAATTTACCAAAAGTAAAGAGACATTCTACAGATGAAGTAAGCACAAGATAACTTACTGGAAGACACGGAATTATCATGAGAACCAGAACAAGAGAGCCTGATAACAGTCATGTGAAAATAACAGTTAAAAAGTATGTATGTGTAATAGAAATAAAAATATATTAGAATTAGTGTAACTCACTGTGATCCAAACAATAAATCAGCCATAGTTGATTAGTAAATATGACATGAGGTCTTGGAGTTTTTAATTTTCATTTTTTTCTTAGATCTGTTAAAAGGTCACCATGGCAGCCTGTGTCTCTCCAACACCAGCTACACAAAGCAGCAAGTGTAAATTCCACATACCTGTCTCACCACTTCATGTATGGTTTTGTACTTTAAACAATTATGACAAACCTGTTATTTTTTCTCCATAGCCATTTGGATCATTGGAGACAGCTGAGTGAGGCGTGGTGCCCAGAGAGCTGCAGAGACAACCTTGGCCTCCCTGACGTCTGTGTCTCCTGGTTCGGTTGGGGCGGACCATCGACATACATACATACATGTGCCGACACTTTGCGCCCTGTTTTATAAAATGTAGTGTTAAAAATAAATGTTTTTGCTCAATTACTGGAATTTCTTTGGTTAAGACAAAAGTGAGGAATAATCATTTACAAGTTATTTGTACAACAGGCCCATTTTAAATCCCAACAGTTTCTTAGCAGACAATAGAAATTTGTTCTTTACTAACTTTACTTGGTTTAAAAATCTTACTAAAATAGTGGCGTATTGCAAAACCCAATCATACTTGTTATGTAAACATTAGCTTTGTAGATATTTTTTACAGATATATATTTGTGTGCAACAAATCCAAACTTAAATAATTTGTCATTCTTTATTGAAAAACAACAAAATACAGTTATACAGAAGTGTGGGAAAATGATAATGTAAAAGTATTGCTATTTAAATGTAATCCTATTTATCTTTAAAAAGAAAAACTCTAAAAATGTCCTGTACAGCATCATGACAGAAGAATGATGGTCTGTCTGTCAGAATGTGCTGAACAGATTTGCTCTTTGAGGAGGAGTGTCATGTTTGGAGGAAGGTACTTAACCCAAGACATGCAGAATACAACACTGACCAAAAACTGATGGAAAACATGATTTATAAGGAGGAACTTAAGGTGCACAGATAAGTCTGTGGTTGGAACTGCAACAACAGCTCAGCGTCTGGAGGAGGGAGAACACAGGTGAGCTTAGGTTCTGGTTTCAAAATCCATTGTAGGCAGGCAGAGGTGTTCAGCAGACTTACTGTGGTGGGTGTATGTGTTGGCTGGAGGAGAGAGAGGTAGAGAGGAAGCGCAGGAGAGGGAGCAGAGGTGGAGAGAAGCGGGGCGTCCTGGTGGATGGGGCACTGGGTGAGATGAGAGGTGGGTTATGGAGGCTGGTGATAAGGTCCGTGTGTTGAATATCCAAATCCTGGAGTAGAGGTCAGTATCCAATGAGGTCGACAGGAATCCTGAAGAATGGTAAATCCAATATAAGAGCAAAAACACTACGAAATAACATTAATCCTAGGAACACTAGAGGTAACACGAGTGGCTGGTTACTACCAAAACTGAGGCAATCTTCTGGCGTCAACTTGTGTCCTCCATCCACCTTAAATAGGAAAGCACCCCGCTGATTGCTGATCAGGAACGGCTGGGGTGGAGTCACCAGAACCATGAAGAACGTGTCTCCAGAGACAACCCGGGTCCTGGTACCGATCAGGAAGCGGACCTTATCACCCAGAGCTGCCAGGTCATGCTCAAAGCCTTCATGTTCACGCTGCAGAGCCTGAACGCTGGCCAGGTCGTGGCCGTAGTTGTCTGTGTTCAGGGCCTGGTTCTTCTCCTCGATCCACTCTTTGGTCTCATCAGCGTCTCTGAGAAGACATCAGAACTCCGTCTGAGTGTGGGTCCAAACTCTACTGACCCGTAAGCGGCGCATAAGTGTGCGGGGTACCTGTGGAAGCGCTGCACCTCATGGGCGCTGCCCAGCATGTTGCTCCGGTCTTCAGCCAGCTGTTGCAGCGAGCGCCAGCGGTTGTTCAGCTCCTGGAGAGAAACCAAACCCAGTGAGATGAAGGTGGACGCCAGCGGGCTAGACGCCGGACAAGGAAACCTGGAGACGGATCGCTCAGACAGGAAGGGAAGAGCTTCCTCTTACCTTGATGGAATTAAAGTTAGCCGTCGTCTGAACGCCCAACCGTACGGTCTGAGGTCAAAGGTCACAGGAAACACACACCAGTCAGCAGTCATACAGATGCATAAAGATAACTGTAGCCATGGCAACCAGCTGACATGTCCCCACTTTCACCAGCACCTGGTGCCTGCCGGGTCACCTGAATTCCTGTGTGATGTCAGCACGGTCGGCCGTGACTGCGGCCATCAGAGGTGACCTCTGATCAGCTGAATGAACTCACCTTCTAGGGTGACGCCGTCTTACCCCGGGTTTCCACGGGAGCCGTCAGCAGCACGTTACTGCAGCAGCACGTCTTGCTCGCGTAAGCTGCTGCTTGGCCCTTCCCACGAGACGCGAAGCAGCAGGGGAGCAGCTGTCACCGACCGAGCACGAAGTCACACGAGTGACTTCGTCAGTAAACACAACAACAAGCAGGAGAAAACTACAACATGGTTTGTGTTTTATGTTCTGTCCATTTTATAATCGCCAATACGGACCTGAAAAACAAAGGAGACCGCTAGCTAGGTGATAACTTCTCACGGGGCCGCTCAGTTAGTAACTGTTTTTAAAATTAAAGCAACCGGAAGGCAGTACGTTCTTTATTCTGAAAATCTCGGTAGCTTCTCTCAATTTCCGCGTCCGATTTCCTGTCTTTCCTTCCCCAAAAATGTCGAACTTGACCCGTTTCAGAGGCGTCGCGCGTAGAAAATAGAACCGGCGCGTAAAGGCCGCGACATGCTGCTCCTGAGACGCGGCCGACTCGCGCTGCTGACGGCTCCAGTGGAAAAGGTTCTGTTGACCACAGCGGTTCCTATCAGCAGCTATGACGTGCTGCTGCAGTAACGTGCTGCTGAAGGCTCCTGTGGAAAGCCGGGGTTAGAGTCGGCTTCATCCTGTAAACAAACAAATGAGTGGTAACAAAAACACCACGTCTGGTTCTGGTGGAGGCGGAGGACAACACGCACCTTTCCAGGAGCAGAACCCAGATGTTCTTGTTGCTACAAACAGAGACGAGCAGAGTTAACAAACCAGGAAGTGAGAGGGACCAGCTGCTGCAGACAGGTGACGCTCACCTGAGCCTGAACCATAGGAGCCTCCTCAGCCATCAGACCTTCTGACTCCAGTTCAGATGCCACCTTGTTGATGTCCCTCAGGCGGGACTCGTTGGCCTTCAGGTCCTGCAGGACAAAAGCACAGCTGATTATCACCTGAGCTGATCTGACAGCTGCTGCTGGAAGACGGAGAGGAGGAAAAGTCCGACCTTCTGGAAGTCGTCAAACTTCTTCTGCAAGACCTCGACCTGCTCCAGGTCCGACCCGTCTCTCCATCCTCATTCAGCTAAAGACGCGAGTTCAAGTAAAACAACCTAAAGTCACACAAACACAAAGCAGGTGTGGAGATGTTCGCTCTGAGCTGGAGGTCGTTCCTCGGCTGTGAAGGGCACACGAACCTTGTTGGTGCTGTTGAGCAGCGTGAGGATGTCGCCCTTCTTCATGGTGACCTCTCCAGGACTCTTCTCCTGGTAGTCGTACAGAGCCAGAACCAGCTCCTTCCCGGTCTCATCGTCAGTTGGAGCCACTTGTTGCTGTCGGGTTAACAGGTCTGGTGTTAGAACGTGGTGGATAAGAATGTTCTGACGGGCCGAGGGTTCTGAACCAGCGAAGTGACCTGGACCCAAACAAAGTGAGCCAGAACCTGCAGACACCTCAGAAACATGTCAGGACCAGACCTGCTCTACCTTCCTCCATTATGGTCTCTCCTTTCTGGGTGACAGCCTTGATGCGAGGTTCATGACCTGTGATCTCAGCCTGCAGAACCTCGTGCTTCTTCAGCAGGTTCTGGACACCAATCAGGTCCTTCCCTGAGGACACATGTTAGAGTTCAGCATTATGCAGTAGACAGACCAGTTTAACCCAGGGGTTTCTTTCTTCTACAATCTGCTCTTTAACTGTATTATTTCCTGCTATTTCAGCTGTTAACTTTATTTTTTCTCTAAGTGTTTTCCTCCCCAGAAGAAGCTACAACGATGTTCTGCTGAGCTGTGGTGGCCTCATGGAGGGGGCCATCATCTAGCACACTGCTGCTAACCACTTAATCATTCTCCCTCTCCTGATAATAACATTTTACTTTCTTTGATGTTGGATGTACTACTGCTAGTTTACCCGTTTAATTATAGATTCACTAGGATAAATACAATAAAATTTATCTCTCGCCAAATAGAATATTTACTAAGAAATCACAATGTAACGTGTGTGTGTGTGTGTGTGTGTGTGTGTGTGTGTGTGTGTGTGTAAAAGCCATGTGTAGTGTTTATTTATAAAGCATATGTTGTTGGATTTTATCCAGAATCGAGACTTTGAAAATATATTGTTTAATTACAGTTTGATTTATTTGACATCTGTATAATGTTTATTATTTTGTTTTTTCCCCCTAAATGCCTAACGTTTGAGTTTAACATGAATATCAGTCATTCATCCCAATACATGAAGTTACACATTTTAAATTTTAATAGGGGAAGACTGCAGGAGGGAGCGGTAAAATCATAGACTGTACATACTTGCTACCCGCCGGCTGTGATCACAAGCGACAACATATTAGTTCCCGCTGCTTCTTCGGTAAACAGCGCCAACAAAAACAAAGAAACTTGGGATCTTGTCGGCGTGGCGGTGGGATTTAAGGGAAACGCTGTATGCCCTATAGACTTCTCACCGAGCTGCAGTATTTCTCCGGTCAGATCTGTCTCTGAGAGCTCCACGAGCGGTCAGCCCGCGCAGAAACTAGCCGCTGCACCGGTCAGGCTGCCTGGCCTGACCGCTGGGGATTACCGGATGGAAGAATGGACACAGGTGTCACTCCAAGCCTGCTGGAGATTTTAAGGGTTCAGATGAAAACACCCTACCACTCAGGCTGCTTACACATCGATATTAAGTTGTCGCTGTTGCGCTCACGCCATAATACAGTATTAGATGCGGTTAAAGTCAGACATGAAAAACTCCACGAGCGGTCAGACCACGCAGCAGCTAGGCGCAGCAAGTAGGCGCCGGATCGGTCAGGCTGCCCGGCCTGACCGCTGGGGATTACCGGGTGGAAGAATGGACACAGAAGTCTCCCTCTTAGCGCTCCGTCATATTTCAACCCATTTTGATCTTTTACCATATTACCCATCTAAATATGCCCTATTAATTATTTTACCGTATTTTACATTTAAATTTCATGGTTAAACAGTAAATGCTACATGTTAAACTGATGGTTAGCTAGCTACTTCGGTAAACTCAGCTAGTTTAAAGGCAGCAGTGACATAAAATACGAATATAGATTTTAACTTACCGAAAAAAATGAAGTGGAGACTCCTTGGATGCTCTATTAGTGCAATTAATACCACTGCAAGTCATTTTGTCCAACAATTGCACCAATATTATCCAAAACAGAATTCACAAGCACAGAGACTCAAAATCCCGAAACAGCTTCCAGGAGGGGCCGAGGCTGTACTGAGGCCTTTCCACGGAGCTAGCTCTGTGGTCACGTGGGTCTGAGGCGGCGGTCACGTGTGTCGGATGCTCATTAATTATACAGAATTTTAGGCTTTCAATACACTTAAACAGAAGAGTGAGAAAAAAATTCACCCCCCTCAGAGTTGTCATGAGTATAAACTAGATAATTTAGACAAAAAACATGTTTTGGCACCAGGCTGTAAACATGTTTATTTCTGCTGTGAAATCAGCATTTTCAACATGGGAGTCAATGAGGATTTGCTCGCTTCTGGCACCAGCCCCCAGCGGATGAGGGTGGAACTGCAATTTTTCTTACTTCCGGGTTGGGACCATTTTCTGAGCGGCATTGTGGGGGCTTGGAAAAATCCCATAAAGTCGTTGCTGCTGAAGGATAACGTAATGGATGGTTCAGAGCTATGATTCTGTGTAAGTTTGGCAACTGTACTGAAAATAAATTTAGGATTATTCTCATTCTCCTCAATTGGCGATCAAAAATATGTGGTTCTAGCTTGTCGAATCTTATTTTTATAAAGCACAAGAATATTTTTCCAGGAGAAGTAGGACTCCTCCCAGTAAGTAGAGCACCATGTTCTCTCCAATTTTCTATAGTTTTGTTTTATAGTACATAGATCAGAATTAAACCAGAAAGCCAACTACCTGTGCTTAATTACCTTCTTTTTTAGGGTTAGGGTTAATGCCACATGTAAAGAAGTAGTAACACTATGCACTAGACCATCAGTTTATGAAGGGCTAGAAATGAAAATGTTGAGTGATCATCTGGCAAGGTGTTCTTCTTCAAATGGGAGATACCACAGGCAAGACACCTTCAAGGCGTATTGCTGCCTCAGCAACGATGGCCAATAGTCCAAGATTTACAACATCCCGTTCACGCCAACCTTTTGAAGAAAATCCAAAAGCGCCCCCTCAACACTTTGATCTTCCAACCCCAACAAAAAAAGCAGGCCAAACACAGTCACACCAACAGTCCCCAGGAAGCCAAACAGGGCCCGCCGCTCAACCACGTAGAGACGACAGTAGGACAGTAGGACATGAGCAACCATTTCCCGCTCCCCACAAGTAAAACAGCCATCCGGATGTCGACCTACCAAAAACAAACCTCCCCTAAGGCAGCTATGTCCCAACCTCAGGCGTGTCAAAACCACAGAATCCCTCCTCCCACACTCAAGGGTCAGCCCACGGACTCCTACACGACGCCACAGCCTGTAATACGTCCGCCCAGCCAACCCCGCATCTCAGGAGGCCTGCCACATATTTAGAGCCACTCGACCAATCTCAGAGAGACACTCCGGTAGACCCAACCCCACCCTCATGTCTACGTTCTGATGCCGCAGCACATCCTTCGCAGCAGCGTCTGCCTCCTCGTTGCCCACCACCCCTACATGGTCAGGCACCCACACAAAGCTCACGAAATACCCCAATAACACTAACCTGTGCAGCTGCATCCGAATGACCGCCAACAGGTTTCCACCTTGCCCCGAGAAACAGGTTTTTAAATAAGCGGCTGTTTGTGATTAATCATGAGTTAACTATGGAGATGATTTATATCATTATTAAATAGCCCATGTGGTCTATAGGCTATATAACTGAGAGTTAATATGAAAAATTAGACAAACCTATTTTCAAACTAGGTATTTGCTCTATGTTGATTTATATTTCATAAACATTTACGGGCCAAGAGGAACTTCAGCTGCTGATGGTATAATTTGAAGAAAAAAGTCCATTATGCTAACCTCCTCCCTTCATATTCAGGATTTTCTAGTTGTGTATAAAATGTGTACATTGTGCCTCTCTAGTCCTTAATAAAGGTTAAATAGTTTTGAATTTAGTCATGTCACATGCCAGTGATTTATAATATAAACCTATAAATAATCTATTGCAGTTTTTTTTACCATGGTTTAAAACTTTTATCTTATTATAGAATGAATATGACAAATTATCTTTTTGTGTCTGAATGCAGGCTCAGTGAACAAGTACATTCAAGGCGGAGCTAAAGCCAAAAGTTCAGATCAGCCATCCACCAGCAGTTCAAGAGCCATCACGTCTGAACCTTCTACAACATCACCCAGCCCTGACCAGGAATTACAAAGTAAAGCACACCTACAGACCGAGCACAGCCCACAGCCAGCACTTCTGAAGGCAGAGTGAGTCCTGGATCTGAAAAAGCATCTGAAAATTACATTAGAGAAACACGTGTGCCACAACCGGTGCTTGTGTTGTTTGGATCTGTTACATAGTTCTAAATAATAACAATATGAAGTTCCTGTGTTGAGTATGTTATATTATGTAAATATCAGTCCTACTTTTTGTAAATAATAATCAGTTTGTGCATACAAGAGAATTAAAGATCATTTAAGGCGAAGCGCTTGCACATACTGTGTTATTGTGTTGTTTTTTCTGCAGGGTGGGTGGGGGTGGGGGGGCACCACGAAGCCTTTGTGCTTAGGGCACCAAAATAGCTAGCAACGGCCCTGCTTAAAATATCAACTGTTAAAGATTGTCCAAAAAGGTTGCCAATGTTGATCGTTTTTCCTGTGATTGTCATTTCAAATCGTTAGTTTAAATTGAAGAAATGAATCTCTTAAAATTTAAACTTGCCTTTTCATTGAAGTGAAACACAGACAAATGGATATGATCGTCAGTTTATCAATGAAAACAACCTTTGAGTCTTCTTATCTCTATAACATTTGGTTATTAATTTGTTAAAATTAATATTCCAGATTATTATGTAGAATGGTTCATCTTT